CGCTCTGCTCTCCACCACCACCGACCCGACGCGCACGCGCACGACATGTGAGAAGCTTGGCGATTTTCGTCTTACCAATCTTATTTAGCAACCCCGAACACGACAGCAAATCCGGCGACTTGCCCCACCGGCGAATTCTGCTACAATGACGGCACCTCGGACAATTGCTACGCGGTAACGAAGCCTAACTCTAAGAAAAACTTCGCAATTTCCAGGCCGCCAAATGTGCCACTCTGAACGCCACCGCCGGCTTCACCAAGAGCGCAAGTAAGCCAAATCAATCGATTTCTTATATTTCCATTATCTTACAGCCCCCGCCGTCACCACCACCGATCCTGCCACCTGCACCGCCCCGGAGGCGTGCTACAACGACGGAACAAGTGATGCGTGCTACACGGTTGGTTTTGCATTGATTCGGTCTGCAAATCGAGCACTGCTAGTGTCAAAGCGCCTCCATTCCCAGCGCTAATAACCTCAAGCTCGTTTCAGGCTGCGACAACCACGATGGCCACAACCGCCGGTTCGACGGTGGCCACCGGAAGCACCGCCGCGACTGGCTCCACCACCGCCTCTGGCAATTACTCCGGAACCTGCGTTGACTCCAACACCAAGTAAGTTGCGTCGCAGTTAGCGCAAAGACTTGGAACCTACTAGGTGTCAGCCGTGGTCACATGGGTGAAACGCTCTCAATCTAGCTCTCTCTCTCTCTCTCTCTCTCTCTCTCTCGCTCTCGCTCTCTCTCTCGCTCTCTCTATCTCGCTCTCTCTCATGCTCTCTGTCTCCCTCCCTACTCTCTCTCTGTCGGCTCGGCCAAGGAATTCTAAAGCGCGCATGGTTTACTACAGCCCTGTAATGCCTCATTTCCAGCTGCGCCACGTGGGTTAAGAACGGCTTCTGCACGAGCACCGTCTACACCACCGAGCAAAAGGGATCGTACTGCGCCAAGTCGTGCAACCTGCAGCCGGCCTGCGCTGGAGGCGGCGGCGGAGCTGTTACTGGCTGTGTCGACAGCAGCGCAAAGTGAGGCTCAGACGAAGTACTGAGTAATCTGATTTATTTAGCTGCCCCACCTGGGCCAGGAACGGCTTCTGCACGAGCTCCTTCTACGCCAGCCAGCTGTCGACGTGCAAGAAGACGTGCAACATTTGCTGAGCATTTCTGGATACCCACCTCGCCGATTAGGCCACGATTCCGGAAATAAATGTACAATTCTTCGAAATTTCCGAGACACCTCATAAGCGGGAAATGCACATTACCTTGGCAGTAACACAAAGGGTTGTAGAATAAGATAAGATAAGATAAGAACGAAAGCTACTCTTGCTATAATCTGGTGAGTTTCCCGTACAGAAGTGTTGTGAGTTGTTGTGAGTTGTCCGGAGCCCAGTTGCAACCTCGAAAAATCGTAAAATCCGCATCCGCGACGCTACAGCTACGCCTAAGCCTATGCCTAAGCCGAAGACCGGGGACCCTGAAAAATTGAAAAATCGGCATTTCTAAGAAATATCTTTTTTAATTACAATTCGTGCTCGAGAACTATCACTGTAACTGTGATACAATGTAGGACGAAACGGACAATCCGGACCAAAGCGTTGTATTATTCCGATGAATGAAAACAACAAAATTCGTTGCCGCCAGCGCTGACTAGTGACATTTAACCCTCAGCGTACTTCAAATTCCTCACCCGCATCGACCTTCAAATTCGCTTCGTTTTAGCGAGGTGCCACCTGGAGCTCGTGGGCGTCGATGCGTATTTGTTCAGCAGATCGACCGATCAGAACGTCGGCATAAAAGGTGTGGATCGGGGTCGAAGCACCAACTTTGACGGCTTGGCCAGTTCATCAAGATGACACTGCTCTTCGCGCTCTTCGGGCTGATCGCCTTCATGCACCAGGTCAATTTCAGCAATGAAAAATTAAATAGATCCTGAGTCTCCGACCGTAACTTTAAGTTTTAAACCCAATGTTTATTTTTTTTCAAAATTTAGACTTTTAGAATTTGAAGTTTACAATTTTTATACTTATAATTTTCAGGTTTCGGCCACGGCTTGCCCATCACTTAGTGCTTCAGCGGATCCGACCCGGACCCCGACCACATGTAGGCCAAGTTGTCTTTTGAATTTTAGTCCAGACAGCTGTGAATTAATAAACTTGTTAATCGATATCTGACCTTTCTACGATGGCCCTACATCACCTTTTGCAGCCACACCCGACACGAACTCAAGCCCGCCACGTTGCCCCAGCGGCGAATTCTGCTACAACGACGGCACCAACGACAACTGCTACGTGGTAGGTAGTTTTTGCCAGGCGAGAAAATACATGCGCTATGGCTTCTAAGACAGTGGGTTTTTTTTGCATTTTCCGTTGCCTTTCCTAACGCAAAAGTTGCAGGCCATGCAATGCCCCAGGCTGCCGTACGACTGGTGGGTGGTGAGGACAGCTAGTAAGTTCCTTGATCACGACGGTGCAAGCTATATTATAGATTCACCCGTCACCACCACCGATCCCGCCTTTTGCACTGACAGCGAGGAGACGTGCTACAACGACGGGACCGTGGATAGCTGCTATACGGTATTGTGCTTGCGGTTTTTACATTCAACATTTTCGTAAAATATATATAGAATATTTGCTTATAAAATCAATTTTAGTATTACACCACAACCGATCGACCGCATACCCAGGTATGTTTTCGATTACGTTATTTCTGCCTCCCCATTTTCTTACCGATAGATCGTAGCAATTTTTCCATTGTAGGCCCCGCCCAAGGATTGTGTTCGTGTTTTCTGGCCGATGACCCCCGCTTCCGTCATCGCCGGTGAGAATCTAGGATTTTGGAGCTTTTTGGATTCTTGTAGTACCAATTTCAATACATTTTTTAGAAGCCAATCCTTCAACTGGCGCTTGCCCGCAGAACACCCACTGTGAGGAGGGAAGAACTACAAATGGACAGCAGGGCCGTTTCTGCATCGGCAACGGATACGTCGACCCTAACCGTCTTACCGTCCCGTGGTATTTCGTTTAATGAATCTGAACAAACGACAGATAACTGTTAATAAATATTCTGCAACCTCAAGGGCCTCGGAAGGCAAAACTCGCGTGTGCGCGGATTGATGTTTTGACCAGCTGGCCAAAAAACGTAAGGGTTACGATAACGAAAGGTATCAGGTAACCGATTCTTTGCGAAAAAAGGAGACTTTAAAAGTATTTGAGAAAAACTAAACGCTTTTGGGGCGAAAACGACTTACTGGACGCTTTGGACTCATAGAGTGCTTATCAAAAAGATAGAACGACTCGATTTTTTATTTTCATCCTCGCCGGCATTTTTATTCTATCTAGCATGAAATGTGAGTAGCACCTGAAAAGACGCATCTTATTGTATACCCGAAATTTCTCTAGAATGGCTATTAAGCTTTTTATGATCAAAACAAAATAAATAGGCCACAAATACCGGTATCAAAATGATATAGCCACAATTTGCAGCCACATTACTTTGAGCTTGCAAGTTACACGGTATTGTCTTCCAAAATCATTTAAATAAACTTGTCAGGTGAAAAATTTTGTAGTTGGCGCTTTCTAAGCGCGTAAACCTGATAACATTTTTTCGGTTTATTACTAGTTTTCAATGACATTTTGCATATCCATAAGAGAAAAATTTCGGCTATACTGAAAGATGCGTCTTTCAATGCCACCAATTTGTCTATGCTTAGCTAGTCACAAAAATATTACTGCGCGAAGATAAAAGGCCAAAACCAAGCGTCTCTACTTTTTGATACGCAATGCCTAGGAAAAACAATCACTAACATTTTCAGTTTTTCTAAACAGCCAAGGGCACCCAAGTGGAGCGTGCCATTTAATTGCAAGCCGAAAAACAAATCCAATTCATTTTGTCCGGACCGGAAAGCGATTCCGACCGGATATTTGAACTTTACGAATTGCGCAAAACAAAATTCCACCCCGCCACCGCTGCTCACTGACATTTAAACCGTCCGTTGTGCTTCAAATTCCTCACCCGCATTGACCTTCAAATTCGCACCTTTTTTAGTCGAGTGCCACCCCGTGGGCGTCGATCGGTATTTGGACAGCAGATCGACGGGTCGGAATACCGACATAAAAGGTGTGGATCTGGGGGTCGAAGCATCAACTTCGTCAACTTGACCAGTTCATCAAGATGAAGCTGCTCTTCGTGCTTGTCGGCTTGTTCGCCTTAATCTATCAGGTCCGTTGGCATATTCAGGCTGGTAATTCGGGGTATCCTCGGTAATTGTACCCCCCGCGTAAAATGAACCGATTTTTTTACAGTTGGAAGATGCTTGAATTAGTTTTTCAGGTTTCGGCCACGGCGTGCCCACTTCTCAGCGCTTCGACGAATCCGACGCGCACCAAGACAACATGTGGGTCTATGCCTTTTTCTCAGAAGCTTACAAACTGGTTTTCAAGTGGTCTTCGGATTTTCAGTAGATTGCCAGAAGATTTGGGAGACGATTGGAATCAAAACTTTTTTAGCCACACCGGACGTGACCAGGAACCCAGCCACCTGTCCCAGCGGCGAAGTCTGCTTGAACGATGGTTCCTTCGATGCCTGCTACCCGGTAGGTGCTTTCGCATAAAATCCATTTTAGTACTACACCACAAGTCGCGTATTTTTTCTTAGGGTAACGGGGTGAAATAACGGGGCAAGCATTATGAGACAAATTTTAATCTGTGGGGTTTACGATTGCCATTCGATAGAGCGTCGAAAAATGTACTAAGGGAATTAATTTAAGCCCAAAAAAGTAAAGGAATTTTTTATTGAATCAAGAAAAATTAAACAAAAATCATGGGCAGCATATAAGATAACCGGGGAACCAAATTTTCGAAATTTACGATATTTTAAAAACGCGAATCGATAGAAGGGCAAAAATATACAGTATTTGCCGGCAAAAAAGTAATACATCATTTTTGTCGCACGTTAAAATTTAATATAAATATTTTATAGCATAAAAACTATCATTGAAAATTATGGACAGCACATAGGATAACAGGGGGCATAGGATATTTTGGGCGTTTTACATATATCTTCGGATTTTGAAAATTCCATTCAATAGAAGGCTGAAAAATCCACTCGGAGATTTTTTGCATAGCCCACAAAAACCATATATAAAAATATTTTGATTATAAAAATTTGATTCCATTTTCCAGGCTCCTGCGGTAAACTGTCCACGTACCACCTGGGAAATAACGCCTATGTCGGTGATCGCCGGTAGGAATATCTTGGTGTTTTTGCTTTATCCGGATCACGACTTTTTACATCAAATTTTTCAGAAGCCGATCCCGTTACGGGTGCTTGCCCTCCAAGGACGCATTGTGAGGAGGGGACAACGAAAAAACCGAGCAGACGGCACGGCCGATTCTGCATCCCTGACGGCTACATCGACGGAAGCCGCCTTACCGTATCTATGTATTACGACTACGTTGAATGACAGAGCGAGAAACCCTTGTTAATCAATTCTCTACAAGAGACATTTTTGGCATCCATTAGGATGCTGAACTCCTTCAAGGGATCAGGGCGGGCCTTGTAGATCAGCAGAAAACCGGTAAAACCACCGAGATACCGGCGCGAGGAGTTTAATTCCTATTAATTAGGTAAAAGCTTCTAAGATACTAATTATATTAATATACACTAATTTGCATAAAATACCGTTAACGTCAATCGTTAGGTCTTCAGTATTGAGTGTCCCAATAAAAAGAACAACTCCCACTGACTGGAAGTACAGGGTGGCGATTAATTACCTGCGCGAGAGAAAACGCTCGCTCCGAATTTTCCTTAAAGCAATCTCTGATCCATCTGCATCTAATACTTAGTGTACAGAAAAAATTTGGGTCAGTGGCCCTCGACTTTTTTCCAGCCCGAAAAATGTCGTCGAGCAAAAAAGCGCGCGCGCCGCGGGTATATACCGATCAAAAGGCCCGATATTTATTCAGTTTGATAGGTTATCAAATGCCCTCAAAATTATTGTTAGTTCGATGTTTCCAATTACCCTCCAGATGCTCAAATCCATTAAAAGCATTTTTATTGAGCCCTAGCCCTACCAAATAACAAAAATTCTCCGACCAATTTCCGCCTGGAGCCGAATCGGCCAGAATGAGACACCTCAAAAATAAAAAGATTTTTCGGGAAAGTGCAATTTCGTTGATGTAGCCTTCTTCTTATTGGTTTGATAGGACGCATTGTTAAATTGAGGCCCGTTCTGAAGAATTTTGGGGAAGTCCTGGGCCAAAAATGATGCCATCAATTCAGCCCGCGGCGCGCCACAAAAATCGTCAACAATTTCTAGCATTTTTGGATTCTAGTTTCCTGATAAAGCCTTATGAACCCAAGAACTTTTGGCATATGGTTGTTGTAAGGATTGTACATATTTTCTCATATCGTACCGATAAATTCACGCGTAATATCGAAAGGAAGCGCGGTTTTTATTTCCATTTGACCGATGCCGTCCTCGATACTGTATCTTTTTTTAATCTTTTGACTTAGGTCGGTTTTCGAACGCTTACTACGTTTGAAAAGAAGTGTGCAACATATCTGAGCCGTTTTAGAAAAGATTAGCTCCCGCCCATGGCTACAGTAGGCTTCAAAAGTGTGACCATGCGATCACGATGCGCGTCGTGAAGCCGGAATTTATGTTTCTTAGCTCGTAGTTTTTCGTGATTGTTTAACCCGGTCAAAATTTGGATAGGATGCAACTATATAACCACTAATATAGTAAAACCACTCTATCAAAGAAAATTTATAGCCTGATTTTTGGGGAAAAAGCGACGCGCAGGTAATTAATCGCCACCCTGTAGAAGTATCGGGTCGGCATGGTACTTACACCATTGGAAAGCCCTTGAAACGGCCAGTTTGCAGCAAGCTTCAAACCATGTTTGTATTTAAACTCGCTATTTTACCGGCCATTTTGTAGAATTTTGCGGTTTTTCGTGGCGGCATACGAACTCATTTGCCGTTAATTTGATGCACAAGCCGTTCCTTAATGTTTTAAATGCCTTTTAAAATGACTCATTAAGATAAAGATATGGTTTTGAATATTGTTGCAAACTCGCCGTTTCAAGAGCTTTCGGATGATGTAACTATCATTCCGACCCGATACTTCTGTGGCGAGTTATAGTTGACGCAGAAGTATCGTAATGATAGTTACGCTGCGTGACTTCGCTCAAGGACGGTGTTTTTGTGAAGAACATACAGGTGTGCTATTTTTCAGCTCCATCCAGCTGAGCAATGGCAATACTTGGGATTTCGGGGAAAGTTATAAGAAATTATTCAAAATACAGGGGCCGTAACTCGGTCATCTGATCCCTCGGGGTTAAACAAATCGCTTTTGTATTCTCTATATTTTCATGCCCGAAAACAACAAAATCCCGATCGACCGCTTAAAATTGACATAAGAAAAACAACAAACAGTCGGCGAATCTCGAATTCCGCACCCGAGTCGACCTTCAGAATGGCTTCTTTTTTGGTGGAGTGCCACCCCGTGGGCGTCCATCCCTATTTGAACAGCGGATCAACGTTTCGGAGTATCGGCATAAAAGGTCTGGCGGAGGGCTAGAGCATTAACTTCGCCAGCTGTTCGATTCGTCAAGATGAAGCTGTTCGTCGCGCTATTTGGATTGTTTGCCATAATCCAGAAGGTCCAGTTTGACAATTCAAATTTCGATCTAGAAATCAGTGAACTAGAAGATTACGTTTGGTCATCTGATCTGGCCAGACCCGATTGCAGATGTTATTGCAATTAACATTTTTCCAGGTGACAGCCTTTGATTGCCCGCTCTTTAGTTTTCCGGTGGATCCGACTCGCAACAGGACGGCGGGTAGGCAGATTCTAGGTTGTCAGAAATGTTGCATAATATTCAATCTAGCTTCCAAACATGTTTTGGTTCTTTCGCATTAATCGCACTTTTTCCTATACGTCCAGAAATGCCTAGTAACGTAATAAGTGGTCCGTTATATTGTACGCAACAAACAAACAAAGGAAAACTTGGACATTTTGTAGATGAAATTTTGGTCAAAACTTGGGGATTTTTGATGGCAAATACCTATATTTTTCCTATTTTTAATCAAAATGTGTCAGCTTTTTACGTTTAGGAATAGTAAAAGCAGTAAAAAAGACGTCCTCTATATATTTTAGAAAAATTAAATCCCTACAAAAAAGCAATGCAAAAGATCCCCTTTTTAGATACCCCTGACGTGACCACCAGTCCGCCGAGTTGTCCCACCGGCCAGTTTTGCTATAGTGACGGGACCAGCAACGCCTGTTATTACGTATGCAATTGACCGCTTATCGTATCGAGCTTGAATATTTTTCAACGCGATTTACTCGGGTTTGAGCAACCCTGAAAATTATGCTGGATGATTTTTGGAGGTTTATCAAAATTTTATGCAAGAAAATCGCAAAGACCTAACCCCATGAAATTTAGCCGATCCACTGCCCAAGGCTACCGGCAAATCCCAACCCCCGGATCACCGGTAAGTTAATTAAAGGGATCGTGACAACTAGCTATCAGTTGCCAACACGACGTCTGATCCACCGAGTTGCGGTAGCTACCACTTTGAATGCTACTACAACGGAATCTCGGACGATTGCTACGAGGTTGCTAACTAAATACTTTTGAAAAATCATCTTAAAATGAATCGTAGCCAGCAACACAAAAATTTCATTTTAGGCCTACAGTAGCACCGATCGGCCAACAACCCGCGTGAGTCCTTCTCTATAGTTTTCTTATGTCACAGTTTTCAGCTGTGACGTTAACCTTTTTTTAGGCTCCGGTTAACAACTGTCAAATTGTCCACTGGCCGATGACGCCGGCTTCCATAATGGCCGGTCGGGATTTATAGAAATTACGACGTTTTATCTAAAAAATTTCAGAAGCGGATCCTTCGACTGGCGCTTGCACGCCGAATACCCATTGCGAGGAGGGTAGAACCACAATCGGTCAGCATGGACGTTTCTGTATTGCTGATGGATACGTCGACCCGAATCGTCTTACAGTACCATGGTACTTCGTTTAAGATTTAAGATACAAGTGTTAATAAATTTTCCCCCGGCACCGGCAAACAAGCAAAATCAAGAATGGGCCATAAAAGATCGATTTGCGTCGACTGGACTTCGAACTCAAGACAACAACCCCTTACCAACACTGCAGTCACGCGATCCGTAACTTTCCATCAGACTTTTTGTTGTTTATCTCAAAAATCGAAGCGCGGGCAAACCCTTTCATTTCGAAAGGCCGAAGCCCTTCGCTGCCATCTAGGCAAACACGGCGGTAACCGTTCGAAAAATTTGCCACAGCACGCCGCTGCTGATTGGCGAACGCTTACGGTAGCCTATAATGCACCGTGGCAAAATGTTCAATAGCCTAACTCCATTTCTACATGCTTGCAGACAACTGAATAGGAACGTGACAATTTCTTACGCTTTAATCGACTCAGTATAGGGCTGCGACACGGATTTTGCTCAAATATCAGCAGTTTTCCTCAATATTAATTTGCGCAAACGCGCAAAGGTCAATCCGAATGCGGCGCTCACAACTGGGTCAGGTGTTATTACTATTTATGCTCTTAAGGAGGTTGTTGCGGTTTTCGTCTCGGACGCCCGGCACGGCCTGCCATAATCCCTTGGCGAACAGCTAAAATTCGACCTTCGAGGGTTGTGCCATGTTTTTTTACCATTTTCCTGCAGCCCGGCGCCCACACATTTATCCCAACGACATCGCCTACAGTAGGACCGCTGACTGTAAGAAGAATTATCACTTTCTTTCATGGCCAAATCATACATACCCGCTGATGACTACACATTTTCCGTTCTTTTTGCAAACCAGGTGAGCGGCCGCGTGGGTCTGCACTGCACGCTAAATTTAAATCTAGCCATCACAAAATTTTAAAAATCAGTGGAAAAACTGATAGGGGCTCTATGGCTTTGCGAAGTTCAACTTCAAGCCGGTACCCTTGAAGCGTCGAAATCCTTGAAATACCTTGAAGAAACTCTTACAGCCCTCACAGGTCCTACGACCATAATGTATCCCATTGGCCTGGAGCCCGCATACCACGCAATTTCCGTACTGTAATCACGAGTAATATGTTAACTAGATTACTAACAACGGTGCAAAAACCATGCAAAAACCGCTTTAATGCAAAAGCAATCCAACCTGGCCTCGAGCTGTTTCTGGAGCCCTGGTGATAGTAGAGCAAATGGCGGAACAGGATGGATTTGACTGCGAACCGTATAAATACGGGTCTCTTGAGAACCAGTCGGACAGCGAATCTGTCAGAGTTGGAACCCGAATTCTAGAAACATGTACGGATTTTCAGAGGTATTTACAGCTTACGGGTAGAACACGTCGAAGCTGGCGCCTGGCTGCATTTCAAAAGACGACCACGAGTTTTCAGCGTTGTCCGAAAAATTCCCGATGGTCTGTATTGTTGGAAAAGCGTGCATCTGAAACATTAACTATGATTTTTCTAAATCTAATATAATGACGACGTGAAGGCGCTGCCATAAAAATGAGTGAGGGACATCGTGAAAGAAAAGACTTAAGGTTGCCCTTTTATTTCAAGCAGAACTACTTTTCGAAACCGCCAAAATTTCTTAGCTACAGTATGACGGTCTGAGCGTTGCAAGGTGAGACCCAATCCTGCGAACAGCGGAGGCTACCAGGCGGCGGAACGGGCGCGCGGAATTCGGAAGAGTTTGTACAGATGGGGCTCGCGGAGCGCTGGCGCGAAATTTTCGAGAAACAAAAAATGGGCTTCTCACCTGCTGCTGATCTCCAACAAAATAGTAGGTGCGCTTCGCACGCTTTGTAAGCTGAGGATGGGGAAGATGAGCTGAGTTGCGAAGCAGCTTGAAGCCACGAGGCGCGGAAATAAGATCCTTCTAGGATAAGGTTTTTGAGTGTTTCCATATAGCTTTTAAATGAAGCAGATGAAGAATCTAACATTTTGCGGACAAATTTGATGAAGGTATCAGAAAAGGACAAGGAAAAAAGCCTCATCTTTCAGTCTCTAGAACGCGCCAAATCGAAAAGATTCAGCACTGTCAGAAGATTTCAGTCCCAAGTATCGCAAATCCGCATGTGGTACTAATCACCGAACATCACACCAATACCATTCAAGAAAATAAACCCTCAAACATTAACGCCTCGATCCTGAAAATACAGAATGTAGCAAATCGTCAAGAACAAAGGCTATTCAAGAGTCTAAAAAACCCGTCTGACAATTCACAATGGCCCATGGAGCAAATAGAGCCGCGAAAATCCGGCGCCCTGTGGAATCTGACATTTAAAAAAAACGAAAATGAGGGGCGCAAATTCCGATAGTACGCTGGAAACGGGGGGCTCGAAAATTGACACAGCAGCGCCAGGCTGGAACGGTCTCGATCCGGCGGGATTTTCGGCGTTTTTCGCCGTCCGTGCGTCGTCACAGCTGCTCAAGAGGGCGCATGTTCTTCAGTATAAAAGAGCACGGTATCCTGAAGACAGTATTCAATTCAGCCCAGCAGCATCATGCAGCCAGCCCTCGTCGTCGCCGCATTGGCCTCATGCGTTTTACAGGTAAAAAATCTTCGGTGGTGGCGAGACGGCAGGCTTAGAAGAACAACAACAACCCGTTACATTTTTTATTCACAAGCATCGGCAACAGTCGATTCGATTGTGGAAAATTTAATGAAGGCCAAGATCAAAATACGCGTCTAGGTGATGTGCGTGTGTCCGACGCTACCGACTCCGCATGGCGCTCTCTCCAGTAGTAAGTTTGAGTCAATCGCGTAATAAATCGAATAACCACTATCCTAATCTTATCCGGACAAGCTATTATTTGCAGCGCCTACGGGGCCCGGCAACCCGCCGACATGCGCGGCTCCGTTGGTCTGCTACAATGACCCAAATGCAACGAATGGGCCGTCCGATGACTGTTATGACGTGAGTCGGCTTTAAAGGTACACTAAAATCTCGTTAGCTGGTTACCGGTCGGTAACCGTCTGCGGGATAGCAAACAGGGTTACGGTAGGCGCTCGCCGCGGAGCAAAACCGAATCCGGGCCACTCGTCCGGGACCAGCGCTTTAGACCACTAGGCCATGGCAGATACGGGAGAGGAAAGGGGGAAGAGGGGATAAGAAAGGTCGGGCCATGCGGCGGCAAAGGGACCCAAATTCCCGAACGCCAGCGATTTTTTGAACGAGATTTTAGCGTGCCTTTCATGGGTCTAAGGGTCTAGACTCTAGACAGATCTGGAAAAAGTGTTTTTCGAGTTTATTATTTCTAGATAGGATTGAAAATTGCTGCTTTGTTAAAGACCCGATCTATTTAGCCACTGCCATGCGACGCCCTCCCAACCACGGAGCCAGTGCCGGTGAAGACCGAAAGTAAGTTTGGGAGAAGCGCTCAAACCGCCCGGTTTGAAGTCCTCGGACGCATTATGTTGATTTCGTAATGCCTTGCCATGCAAACGATTTCAGCCGCGCTCATTACAACCACCGATCCTCCTACATGTCCGACCGGCGAGACCTGCTACTCGGCTGGAACGCCTGCAACTAACGCTTGCTACATGGTACGTGTTTGATACATCGTAGTTTGGAGCCAGTCCATTAGTGCTGAGCCGAGATCGCTCCTTTCATGTCACCGGTATACCAGCAAACTCTGGTAATCATGGGCTTCAGAACGCCACGACAACGATGGCCAGCACCACCGGTGCCACATCCGAGGCGACTGGAAGCACGGCCGCCACCGGATCGACCACCGCCTCCAGCGAGTACACCGGAAGTTGTGTGGATTCTAACACCAAGTGAGTTGAGACTGGTTTCGTCTCGATGCCCCGAGCTCCGTGAGCGCATTTATTCATTCCCTTAACATTCCAGCTGCGCGACCTGGACGAAGAACGGTTTCTGCAACAACAACGCCTACACGACGCTCCAAAAGGGACAGTACTGTGCTAAGTCTTGCAACCTGCAGCCGGCTTGCGCTGGAGGTGGCGGCGGTGGTGGTGTTGTCACCGGATGCAGCGACGATAGCGCCAAGTAAGCATGCAGCAGGATGCGAGCATCATGTTACACTGTTTATAGCTGCCCAACCTGGACGAAGAACGGTTTCTGCACGAGCTCTTTCTACGCCAGCCAAGTGCAGACATGCAGGAAGTCGTGCAACCTCTGCTGAGCGCTCTGCTCTCCGTCTCCGGATCTCATTGCCGATTAGGCGCCAAGTCCGGAATAAACGTACGGTCATTCAAAGATTCTTAGAAGGAAAGCGCACACTTTGAACAAGACGGTATCCGAATTGTCTTACTTGAAAAAAAAAACAGAAAATGAAATACACTATAAGAATGGACTTCACAGGCCGATTGTCTGGATCATGGAAAGTTGCAAAACCGTGTTTCGAAAAGCGGAAGTCAAGGCATACGTTTCGGAATCTGGAGACAGCGAAACCGAAAAACAGCCAATCGAGAAAAGCTTCTTTTTGATGTAACTGATACGAACTCAAAAATTGTTGTACTTTGCAAAGAGGACGAACAGTTACAAAACCGGTTATTAACAGAGCATCATGGCGGCAAGAAAAAGATACGAAAATAGACCGCGAATTACGGAACGAATTCATATGCGGAGTGCCCGTAGGGAGGGCGCTCCGCCAGAAGCGATGCGCGATGCGCGACCATACAGTCACAGGGCCCTGGATAGAGGGGTCAGAATGCAGCAAGGCAACAAAAACTATTTCTTAATTTGGCGAAAATATCATAATAGCCGGAATATAAATATGTACATACTCTATGTTTCATTAACGAGGGTAACTTGAGCATTGATGACATGACTTTTAAAAAACCTATGCTATTCTTCTATGTTCTTCTATCCTTCGCGAAGCCGGAAGCCGAGTGTAGTTTCTGCAAGCCTTCCCCTCGCCCGAAGCTAAACCAAAATCGAAGTCGAATGTGTCAATGTTCAGCCCTCATTTCCGTTCACAAACCATGTCGGGGCCACGCGGGGCCCCTTGGCCCCCCGTCCAGTCATGTCGGCTGCCTAAATACAGCGTGTTCAATAAATATCGGCCTTCCGCACGTTGCCAACTGGTTGTCGCCGCGAAAAAGGTGCCTGCAGTTTCAATATAAGCCACGCCGACGGGGAAGAGGATATTTGATGCGTTGGATTTCGAACCGGCCTACTACGCCATGAGGTAAGTTTTAGAGCTTCAGAAATCATGAACGATCTCATTTGATTTAAGTTTTATGAATTCCCTATGGTAATAGCGCTCGATATTTCACAACAAAAGATTGATTCTGATAGCTTTTCAGACCTAACATGAAACAGCAGGTGGAATTTTCGCTCCACGGTTTGCGTTAACCTTGCATTTTTTCCAAACAGTTCCGTTTGCTTTTTCCTGTAACGTTACCGATGCTTTCGATTCTTGTGAGACTTGCTACGTATTTTAGAGCGTTACACTGTAACAGCATTTTGCGACTAGTTGCTTGATTAAAAAAACAGCGAAAACGATTTGATTGGTTGACGGTATAACCGCTTTAAACAATGCATATTTTCATTACGCGGTAAGCTACTCGAAAATACGCAATTCGACGATTCCTAAGCCAAAGATTGAAGATTTCGCAATCCGCAACATTCACTACATTTTCAGTCACCTCCACACCTTTATCGCAATCGCTGTAGCGTATGTGTTGGCGATCCACGTCGAATTCGTTCTCGCGCAAACATGCCCGACCTCCGGATTTCCTGGGCTTGTCTGTAGGTTTTTCAGCGTCTGGTTTCGCCATACTCATGACGACAACTATTCCCAACCAGCCTTTTCTATCGTTCCATACCTTTCAGTGTGCGACACCGCGTCCAAAAAATGTCTCCAGGATCCTTCACTGGGCTGTGAGACTGTGGAGGATGGATCACTTTATTGCTGTAGGTTTTCCAATAAAAACTAGGCTGCAAAAAACGCACGAAAAACGTTTTAGGTCCGATGCCGGAAACCACCGCCAAACCTACGACGGCCAAACCAACCACCAAGGCGGCAACAACCTTGGTAGGGTTCCCTAAGCTGTTAATCTCACCGGACAACACTACTCCAAAGTTGCGTTCTTGAATGCGCTATTTCTAGGGCCTCTGCCAAGACCAGGCCACCTATTGCACCAGCCAATCCGCGCTTTGCACCAGCAACCTTGCCGAGTACAGGTACATTTTTTTGCAACGTTGGCGAAACAACTTTGAGCGCTGAGGAGTTGTGTTCTCGCTATCGGAAGCCGCCACTGTTTCTAAAGCCATGAAAAGTTTAGGTCCTTGATGGCCACACAATGCCCGGTGACTTGCAAGCAGTGTGGAAACCGCCCGATAGGTAAGATCTGGGAAAACCCTGGGACTGGCTGGATGCTTACAGGACTAAGGATTTTTCTTTAGTTCGTCTTCAATTATTCCTTAGAAGTTCTAATTGGCTCCAAATAGCCAGAATCAGTAAAAGCGACCCGCGGTCGATCAGACGTAAAACCCCGGACCTCGCTGTTTTTGGCAGCCTATTACGCATTCAGGTTCAAATCTTTACCATCGACCGGGATGAGCTATATGCTTGGAAATTTTTGGCTCAACCATATCGCCAAACAAAAAAGTTATAGCTTCAAAATATTTTTCTTGCAACACACCCAGTCGCGGTTTTAGGTGTGCTTGCGCAATGGAAAGCGTCTATAGTTGCGCCCCGTCGGTTTGTTAGCCAACGGGCGCCGGGTTGCCTTTCTGGAGCCCTCTTATAGTTATATTTTGAGATTTTAAGAAGGCATTAAGATAACCTTATATTATAGGAGCTAACGCAGCGACTACCGTCTCCGGATGCGCCGATGTGCTAGCCACCTGTGCCACAAATAAGGGACTCTGCAAAAACGCAAACTACAGCCTGATCATGGTCTGTTTTTTAATAAGTATTTTTCCACACCAGACCCCCAAAGTTTTTATTTTTAAAAAAAACATATCAATTTAAGCCCATCAAGTGCAAGAAGACGTGCGGACTTTGCTGAATCAGCCGGATCGGTGCCGACAAAACCGAAATTGTGAACGACCCGCTTCACAATTGTAATAATTAATAAACGCTGCTAATAAATGTAAATAAAGACTACAACGTAGGGCTTTGAGGTATCAGACATCGCGTTCAGTCCAAAACAAATAAGGAAAAAATCAGCCTTCCAAAAGCATGCATCGTTTCGCCAGAGCCTAGCGAGGTATACTGCCCGTGTTCTGCTGTTCAACCATTTCCAGTTGACTGAGATGTTCGAACATTGATTCGAATTTTTTCTAAATCAGCAATGACAGGACGACGATTGTCTATTAACTTCAAATAACTTGGCCAGGCACAGCAAAGAGGCGTTCCAAAAGTTTGAAATCCTTAGAAAGTTTTTTTTCTGGATCCCTTTGAATAACTAGGCGTTCACGTAGGATGCTCCTCAATCGGCTTTTGAACGATTTTGAAGGGCAAGTATGTTTTTGCGAAGAAAAACAACAGGATAACGGGATATGATGTTAGTCATTCAGATCTGGCCGTATTAGTGATAAAAGCCATCGAGGAGAGGCTGGACTACTAATACCAAATTTTTAACTAAGTATAATACCAAAACTTAGAGCATTTTTAACTCTATCGATTGGAGAAAGCCTAATCTATTTCTGAGGAGACATGGGCACGAGTCGATGAAAAGCGCGTTCATGATTTCTAGTCACCAGGAGCCAGTGAAGGGCTTATTTTTGGTCATCAACTATAATAAAAAAGTAGCGGTGTCCGTCTGTCCGTCCGTCCGTCGTGTCCCGAATTCAACTCGAAGGGGAAAGGAGCTAGAGATTAGCTCTCTTCGGATTCGGATAGAGCGCCATCAGAAACCCCCAAACTGATAAAAAAATTACGAAAAAGTTTTTGTTTAAATTATTAAAATTAACTTTGAAAGTTTTTTCCTTAGTAAAAGGGGTGGGTGACGGAGGTTGGCATGATTTTCGCATAGTGAGCCAGGTCGCGCGCGTTTCATGGATGAAAATTTTCACGGAGGATTTCATTTCTTTTTTTCTCTCATTCCATCCGGTCGGTCGTTATTTTCGTTTTTTAAGGGGATTTCGTTTAGGGGAGGTACCTTAAACCATCAGGAAGGTATTTAGGTAGTTTTTGAAGGGGATTTCGGCTATCGGGGGGTATCTAAAGCCATCAGGGAGGTATTTAGGTAGTTTTTGAAGGGGATTTTGCCATCGGGGGTATCTGAAGCCATCAGGGAGGTATTTAAGTGGTTTTAAGTAGTTTTTCAAGGAGTAGCTAATTTTGTGCAGGGGTGGCTATAGGGGTGTCTAGCGATTGGTGGGCATGGGTGAAGATAGAGATGTAATGTGGTGGCGTAGAACATGGAGGGCAGTTGGTGCAGCTGATTACAGTCGCGAAGCGGCTGTAATCGGCTGGTATTTTATAGAAATTTTGTTATTTGAATTCGAAAGCGGAACTTACCTCGCGATGTCAGGTGATGGTACTTGGCTGGGGACTGCATTAACTGACAAATATGCGGAAATAGGCCACACCGGATCCGTCTTAAAGGGATAAGGGGGGCCCACGAAGATCAGGGCTCATCTATAATTGGCAAGTATCCAACTGGGTCAGGTAGGGCGTGAGAGGGCGCCCAGGGGAGAGAGCGCCGACACCCCTAGGCCGGTTGCATCTACGCCCCCTTGCCCGGTCCAGCAGTGCAAAGCTAGCTTAGATGGAAAAAACGTTTCCGATCTATGCTAGTCATTGCGAATCGAGCCCGGTCAACGACCAGACGCGCCTTTTGGTGGCTAAACAAACTTGACCTTTCGTTTTTCTGCCAAAAAACGCTTTAGGGGTGGTGCTCTCGGTTGTTCAGCCTGCGTCGCTGCGGGCCAATAGGGATTGATGTATCCAAGCCAGATCCAAGCTAGCGTTTTTGCTCATTGTACTCTATCGAGCGCGCAGAAGGCAAGCCCGATCCGAATTTATGCGATTCAACGATGCCGGTTTGTCAGTGAATTGCTTTTACGCAACGCGCTGAGATTTTGGCGCGCTGTCTTGTGACCAGGGTATGGTATTTTCCCGAGACATTTTCTATAGTGATCGCTCGATATTTTTTTTTGTGTTGGCATCACCTAGGTTAGGCGAAAAACCGCGAAACACAAAATATCATAAAAGAATTTTCA